CCATTTATCTCCAACTATCTAAGGCCTGCTTATATTTTAAATAATTCAATTTCGGCTAATATTCATAATTAGCCAAAACCCTAGGAATTTCATCAATTTGTCCCAAGGGTCTTTTTATCATTTTTGACCCATATGGATCTCGGAACCTCATTTTCTTTTTTTTCTTTTTAAATTTTTTGAAAATTTTCTAGAATTTTAGGCATACTTTCTATTACTGCCCTTTTGACCCAAAACTTTTTGAATTTACGGTTAGATCCCTTCTCAGGTTTAGCCTCAAGAATCATTTCATTGAGATTCCTGGTACAACCTTTGGCCTTTAATCATCTCTAATTCTCATACTTGAGCCCTCAAGACTTTATCGGAGTTTTTAACTTGCTTGTCTCGTGTCCAAAAAATTCTTATTTTGCGATTTAGTCATTGAAAATCTTCTCGTCTTTCTAAAGAACTTCTGAAACTCCTACCAAAAAAAAGTCTGATAGCTTACCTGTTTTAAGCTAATTTTAGTACTTCTAGGCTCAAAATTTGGGATGTTAGAAGTGGTACCATCAAGTGAACCAGAGACAATGCAATCTCTACTAATGCGCTGAAAAGCAGATTGAACTGAGTGCCCCCTTAGTGTTCTTACAAATTCACTAGACGGGCTATCCCACACTTTGAGTCATTGTCTTTTTCATCCTACATTCTATCTGCTAAGTATAAATGATATTATTTCAGAGAAATAATATATCAACAAGAGTTATTTGCTTACTTGAGTTGTAAAAGATTTGATTGTATGAATTGATAGATAGATATATATATATATATGTATGTATGTATAAATGAATAAAGAATTGAAATACTTAATATAACTTTGGTATATCATTGATCTGATAAGCAAATATCGACATGCCATAAGGCTCAACATAAGTATTTTTCTCCTCTTGATATATTACATATCATATGTAAAATTATTTTGAGGTTTCTAGACATTCTGAATGTAAGTTTTTCTCTCTTCCATTTTATCACCACCATCTGCAAAAAGTGAAGAATATAAGAGTGAAGAAAGAATAAGAGAGCACAACTGCATGCAAAAGGGAGAAAGAGAAAGTTATTGACCTAATTCTGATCTTTGTATGGTTAAGTCCTTGCCCAACATTAAACATTGAAAAAACAGTAAAATGCAGGAGGCAAGTTCTTTTTCCAACCCGATGCACACTCAGATCACTAAATCCAAACTTCTGTTTTCACATTCTGCCACTATTGTTGACAGACGGGATTATCAAATCTTCGAACTGAACATTATGCGAGATCTAGAAAAGTTCATTACCATAAAAACTGTCAGTATAACGACTGTTTCACCATAATTGAAACAAATCAATCTCATAATCAAATTATTACATGAGAAGGCTCAGGCAAAGAAACCAAAAAAAAAAAAACCTTCATAATCTTAGATCATACCAAGAAAATCCTATTACTTTTCTCAGTTTGACAATTTAATTACTGGTAACAATATTGAATCAAAATAACACATCAACAATTGTTAGGAATTATGTTTCCTAAAAGACATAAGGAGCTTCTGAAGAAAGAAAACTTTCGTGAATGTTAATGGGCAGATAGATGGGAAAATTTTAACTTGATGTTTGAAGGTTTTACCATAACATTTGCAAGGCCCTACTTGGTTGAATAAAGATCCAAGAGATTATATATGACCTGGCTTATGAGTTACCAATTATACGTTTCCCAAAACATACCAACATATACAGCAAAAAAATATACAAATCAACTGAAAATTGCAATATATTTAAACAACAATGAAATCAATGGTCAACAACGCTCAATGTAAGCAAATATAGAATTGAAATACTCAATAGTATACCTTTGGTATTCCTTTGATCTGATCACCAAATATGGACATTCCTTAAGGCTCCAAGTGGGAAAAGAAAAATCCTCTTGATCTTCATCTAATAATAAGCGTTCTGAGACTCCATTGTTAACTATACAAAGAAAAACAAAATACAAATACAAACAATTGATTTTTGTTAGATCTATCAAACTAAACAGAAGAGAGAAGAGAACAGAGACTGAACACGAATTTAAACCAAAACGACACTAAGTCTTACCTAACCCAATCATATATTCCTAATGCCTAAGACCAAATAATACCCATGATGACTCAAAGCAAATAGCTAAATTAAACCACACCATTGTTGTTTGAATAAGGAAAATTTTAGATCCTAACCATAACCATTAAAGTGATTGCGATTGCAATTTAGAGAGCCACCTAATTGATGCTACAAAACTTTTCACAAAAATTTAAGAACACTCTCTTGAGATCTATGCAAAAGCAAAAGATGGCTTGACCATTAACGCCTTTCGACAAAGAGACACCCACTCATCAATGTCAAATCCACATCACGAGCTCACCGACAACAAAGCATTTCACACACAATCTAAATAAAATTTCAACGGTTAAAGTGCTTAACATAAACATACCTTTCTTTTACAAATTTATAAAGCCAGATCTAAATAGTTCACCGTTAGTTTGTGAGTCTAAGAGATGATTATTCCTTTATCAACATGACTGCCTATAGTCTCACCTAGAGCTTACTCAAGAGAGAGCTGTTGAGATTCACAAACCACGAACAAATACCAAGGAATCTGTCACAGAAGGAGAGAATAAGAAGGAACTTCATGCTTTCTAATATAATCAATTGATTTAATATTCTTGTCACTAAAGGAGTAGCAGAGAACCAACAGTCACAAATACAAGCGAAGGAACAAATGCTCTCACAAAAGGAGAGGAAAAAAAGGGGGAGCAACTATGACACAAAAGGATTTGATCAATGAGTTGTAAATAGAGCTCTACAAGCAATATGCGGCATAGGTGTGGTGCGTGAGGAGGAAGAATCAACTTAGGGTTATGTTTTTTCGGAATGACTTTTAATGAAATAAGCGTAAGTAATATAAAATTTTCAAAGTACTATCTATCTAATTTTGTACCATGCCATTTGCTTATGTTGGGTGCTAGTATGTAAAATTGTATAATGAATTATGGTAGTTATGCAATGACATTAAATGTAGAAAGACATTGAATGTACATTTCATTTTTATTTATTTCCTAATGTTTTGTCTCTATTGTTTTACATGTGAAAATTTCAATATACATTGTAAAAAGTATTCGATGTGGAAACATCGAATATGCATTGAAACAATGAATCTTATACAATTTTGATATTTTTTCCAGTTATATTCTTATACGGAAAGTTTGATAAAAACTACAATAAAGATGAAGATTGAGAAGATAAAATATCGTAGAGTATTATGGCGTTTGTTCACCTATGTCTATGAAGTTAACGTAAGATTAGATGTCCATTAATGAATTGGGATGAGAGTAATATAATGATTTATGAAAGCTGTAAAAGGGTCTTTGAATTGTGGGAGATAAAACACGTTTAGAAAATATCATAATATTCACAACTAGTTATTAGCGACGTGTCAGACAAAACAGTTTGACTGGACTTGCTAACAATTTGATTTGGATATTAAAATTGTTTAAATGATGAAGCCTGCTGGTTGGATTGGAGTTGAGCCGCCGTATTTGAGTTGGAGCACAGAATTCGACTAAGAACGAGAATAGATTTTAGACAATCAAGCTAGTTTTGGCCTAACGAGAAAAATGCTGAAAAAATTGAAAAACCCAGAAAAAAAATTAAAACTCTCAAAAGCCCAATATACTTTAAAATTATTTGTAGTGTAACAGTTGGCCTTCATAAATAAATGACAAAATTTATATTTTAAAAAGTTTCAAGTTATGAAGGGTAATTTTAAAAAATATGTCCAGAATTTTTGAACATTGCCTGAAAATCATGCAAATGAAAAAAAAAAAAAAAAACCTTGAACAACATTTGAGGTTAGAAGAGGTAAAAATCGAGAGGATACTTCAAAAGAAACAAGTTTTTTACTTTCTACAATTTTGATTGATTAAGTGATAATTAGTGAAAACTAATTACAAAAATATCAGCAAGCCTCAAATAGTTGAAAAACAAATTTGGAAAAAATGTTTTGGGATTTTTATCAAATAGATCCGGACAGCATGCGAGATTTTACCTTATAGTAAATGGATGTAAAATTCAAAATTAAGATTAAATAGGATTAAGAAAAAAAAGGGGGGGGGTTTTAATTATGTGGCAATAATGTATGTATCACGGTTAGATTCTAACGTGAAATGTGCCACATTACGTGTAGGATCTGGCATTTAAGAAGGGCCTATAAAGATTGAAGAGACGAGAGAAAAAAAGCACAAGGATTTAAGAAAGCAGCAAAGTTTTAAAACTTTAATGCTAATGTTGCGCTGATAGCTTTGTATGTTTCATTTGTCATGATTACTTGGATTACAGTTTATAATTGCACATTTAAATCCTAATACTCCTCCGACCCTTAATATAAAATCCATTTAACTAATTTGATTAGATTAAGAAAGTTAGATAAGTTAGTTAATTATAAGAAATATGACATGTTTTTCCTAAAATACCATAATCATCTTTCTTAATACCTTCTCTCCCTCTTCTACTTGACTATGGTTGAAGGAGTATCTATAGGGGTTAAATATGAGAAATGGTTCTTATATTTAGGACCAAAACCAACTTAACAATTAGGTCCTATAGTAAGGATCGGAGGAGTATGTTACAACCCTTTTATATTTATATCTTCCAATTCATGGTAATATAAAGTTAAAGGGTAATATTTTATTCTATGAGTTGGAGCACTGAATTTAGCATATCAAACAAGAAAAATCAAATCTTAGTTAAACCAATATCAAGGCCAATTTCCAATCAACATAAATTTTAAAAAAATAAACAAAACTAACGTAACCCGTTTTACATATTACACTCGTACTCAATACATCCCAATACTAAGTGATTCCTACTTATCTATATTATACTCACACGCACTCCTCATTGATATTTAAAGTATTAGTTGCCCGCTATGCAATTGAAGAAACCACACTTCAGGAGAGTCGATTAAGCAATCAAACAAAATACTAAGATATAGAATACAAAAATCAACATTAATATTTTATATAAAATTCATATCAAGCCATTATTTATAAGCAATAAATAAAACAGCTCTCTTTTCAAATTGATACAAGAAACACAAATCTAGTCCAATCAATTCAACAAAACATTCAAAACCTGATCCATAATTATAGATGAGACTGCTTATTGAAGCCCAGAAACTTCAAAAACACGAGCAGTACCATCAAGTGAAACAGAGACCACGCAATCTCTACTAGCAGATAGAGAAATAGATTGAACAGCATCTGAGTGCCCCCTGAATGTTCTGACACATTCACCAGATCGGCTATCCCAAACTCTCACAATTCCATCCACACAACCGGTGACCACATAGAACGTACCAAGCCATGACAAACATGTCACTCCCTCCTGCTCAAATGCCCCCAAAAAAAAAAAATCTTTATTACAACTAGCAGTGAAAATTTGCAACCCCAAAAGCCAAGAACATAGTTGGAGCCAAATGAAAATTAGAAAAGTATATAACTTCTTAGAATACAGAGGAATGGAAGATTTGTGCAGAACAATATTCCAACGTACCTCATGGTCGCACATGCTTCGGGTTAATGAATGCTCTATATCCCATATCATAAGTCTGTTATCCATGCTCCCAACTGCCACCCACGTGTCACTATCGTGTACAATTTTAAGGAACAAAAGTGTTATTAATGCCCTCCTTGTATGGCCAATAAAACAAGCATACGCAGAAGAGAAAGAGAGAAAAAGAAATATTGGGGAGTGAGAGGTAGAAGAGAGGAAGAATAATGGATCTTTGTTAATGAATTGATCTAAATTGCTTAGCCCTTACTAATCAGGGTCCAAAAGGTACATCCCCTGAAAAGATAAGAAGTTCTTAATGACAGTAAAAAGACTGAAATTCTTCAATATGAACTCTTCCTAATATCACAGTTATTTGTTCAGCAAGAAATGGGTTTAGTAGTTTACACCCGCAGTATGATATGCAAAAACAGGGGCATGGTCTTGTAAAAACACTATATATTCCAACAACTTAGACAATAAGACTTCCATCAAGCGCACACATAAACTAGGCAGAACTTGTGTGAAAGCACATGTTCACAACGACATAGTCAAGACATATGCCTGTCCATCTTAATACATACCTTGGTGCAAACCCAACACATTCGATGGAATCAGAATGAGAAACCAACGAATTAACCACCTGTCAACCACAATAGAAATGTTCTTTTAGAAACCTAACCAACAATAAAGTCCAAAAGTCCCAAGTAAGAAAGAGATCCTAGTAGGTTAAAAAAATTGACTACACTGGATTTTTTTTTTTTTTTTTTTGATAAATTACAATGAGTAGGAGGGAAGCAATCACGTAACAATATGAGCTGAAGATATTGAAATATTATTCAACATAAAGCCAAAAAAGCTTCTGATAATCATGAAAGAAGACATAGTAGCACGTACTCTCCCTGTAGAAATATTCACAACGTGGACAGAACCATCCTTAGAACCAGTAAGTGCCAGAGTTGAACTTGAACTTATTGACATGCATGTCAATCCCTCGGTATGATATGGATGACCTAGAAGGCAAGGTTCAACGTGTCAAAAATTTCTGGGATGACCTTTAAAAACAGAGGAGAAAAAGAAATCTGCAGCCAAACATTTAAAAATCCTATGATGAGAGCAAGAGATACTCATTCATTTTAACCTCAAGATTGTTGATAAGACAAGAAATTGGAGACACAAGGGATGCTGCTAATAATTCAAGGGATCATGCTTTTAAATTATCCAAACAATTCTTTGATGAAGCCGAAGGGAAGTTTTTTCTGAAATTTTAAGACCAGGCTTGACCTTAGTCTTTATAAGTTTTGAAAAAAAAATATCAGAGAATAATTTGAATTGGACTGTTCCGAACAAATTTTGAAGGATGACATCCTTCCACTCAGCCTTGAACATTCACAAATTTCAGGGATTTTGAATTAGAACTATGCATGCCTGGCAAAATGCATTTTTGACAAATAGAAATCATAGGTTCCGATGTATAATTTTAATTGAAGCTCCAAATACAAACTAACTTGCAAATATATGTATACATGATGGATATCCCAGCATGAGAGTCAAACAATATCAAGAAAAAGTATATCAGAATCTTTCCATTCATTGTAGCGGGAGGTTGATGCAGGCTTTCACCTTTTTCTTTGCTCAATTTCATAGTTCGATGTAATAAGTGCAGGACCTTGTATAAATGACAGAGATGCATCAAAGGCAATTTTCACATACCACGCACAACATGAAGGTTTTCTCCGCTTTTGGGATTCCATATTCTCATAGTAGCATCATCAGAACCCGTGCATATTATTTTCCCTTCAGCACCAAAACATAAGCAGATGAAAAAATAAATCTGAATAATAACAATTGAAAAGGGGGAAAATGTGCATCAAGATGAAGAGCAGTTACTACCATCAGGAGTGAAATCACCACAGGTTACACTACCACCATGACCAGCAAATGTACTAAGAAAGGCACCTCTATCAGCATTCCACATCCAAACAGTGGAATCCTCAGAACCAGCTAAGAGTAGGTGTCCTCTTGGATGCCACCTAAGCCACTGAAAGTTCATACATTTAACCAGTTTAATTATTGCTAAAGGCAGAGCAGCACAACCAAATATTTGACACTCTACCTCAATTCCCCCTCCAGGACCTTCTAGAGCACCTCTGTGATTTCCTAAAACATCCCATACTTGAACAATTCCATCTAAGCTTCCTGATGCAAGCAACTGTCCATCATTGCTAAAAGCTAAACTGCTCACCGAATCTCCATGACCTGCACCAAGCAACAAAAACTCAGTCAGGAAAACATGATAAAAGTCATGTGATATGAAAAATCCATTAATTATAACTCTATCCTGAGTTAAGATACATCCATTAGTGAATTTTGTGTCATGTCAAACCTTGAAGTTCAGAAGCCCAGTCTCCTTGACCAATCCTCCAAAGAAACCCTGTGTCATCACCTCCCCCTGTTGCCACCAGTGTTCCATCTGTTGGGCTACATGCAACTGTGTATAATTCTCCTATTTAAGGGGAAAAAATCCAAGGAAACATTAAATATAAAAACATGTTGAAGCAACAAAATCTCATAAAAACATACGACACATAACCTCAAAAAATTTTGGAAAACAACATTATCAGCCAATGAATAAAATCTTCAGCAGGAATAAACTTACAGACAACAGAAACATTTTGAAGCCGATGACCTAATAATTTCATGTTAAGAAAGACCTACCTAATAAGTAGATGGTTCCCTGCTCCCTAGAATGTTAAAATATAGAACTAAAATTATTTGAAATACTGAATTTTAAGGTAATAAACAAAAGATCGGTGAGAACAAGGCTTGAGGTAAAACACAAATTAAAGGATAGTAATCTCACCAGAATGACCAGTGAAGATGTGCACAGAATCATCAGGCTCCTCTGAAATCATTAGATGAAAATGATAAACAAAAATATTTAAACAGTTAAAAGTAATACATCTTCAAGTATTAATAGTAGTACAAGACTCAGAGTAACAGCCAACAATTTTCACTCGGAGAGAGCATTGAGAAGATCAAGAAATTTAAAAGACAGTATAGCTATCCAGATGGATTTGCAGCAATGTCCTACCAACTTGTTCCGTGTCAAATTCTTCATCTGCATCAGGAAGATCTTCATTGTCCAAGGCAACTTCTCGGATGATGTCAGACTCATCCAGAAAAACCTCTTCATTATTGTCTTCATCATCATGAAGAGATGGACTAGAAGGGGCATTCATCTTTTTGTCTCAATTCTTGATGTAATTAAAACACTCTTGGAATCTGCACACAAATATAAAAGAGGGAATTATTGAAACAGATTTGGCATCCAATTGCTTTTCCCATTCTCTGCCAAATATTTTCCATCCCTTTCCTATCTTCATGGGATTCCTTATTCATTGTAATGGATTGTAAAGTGTGACAACAGTGCCAAAACCATCCAATTGTATGACATAATGGTGAGAATTAGGATAGAGTTCAGTAATCGAATCAAAACATGGATTAATACATAAAACAGAAAAACCAAATATGCTACAGAAATATTTACAGAAAAATGGAAAGGAAAGGAAAGAAGTTAACCACAAGGATATGCTACATTTTGAAAAGCAAACAATGATGAAATTCTTCACATGATCACTGAAAACCTCAATGGCACAGTGTAACGGTACTTTATACTAATATCAATATTAATATCATTGATAAAGTCTGCAAATGATGAGGAAGAATATAAAGCTTAAATGTATTATCTTGAAGGCTGGTCTGGTTTTTCAAGCATCTGTAATTCTGGAATTGAAGTCAAGGTTCAATATTCAAACAGGAAAATTGGCTACAGTCTTGCCGAAGATAAGTGAGACTCGACATTTCACTGTTTCACAGTATTGGATAGTGCATCAACCAAGCTTACCAATTCAATTTGCCCTTACCACCAATTCGCGGCAACGAAAGAGATGAAGCTATGAATTTGCCCTTACCCGTATGCGTGAATTTCAGAGCATTTTGTATCGTTTTCTTATTCCAAAGGCCACGAAGATACACAAAACTCATACAAAAGGAAATGATACCAAGCATTCAATCCTCGGCAACAAAAGAGATGAAGCTATAAAAGTTTAGTTCGTTAATGGATGATAGGAGAAGACAAAACGAGATGAGATTAGAACAAAATAGACTCACCACTTTCGGACGGCTCTCTCTTTCGCAGAATCGCAGCCAACCACGGCCAAGGAATCGGAGGGCGACGAACGTACAGGTCAGCACCAGAATAAGGTAGCGGCGGCGTGTGGACTTGCGCTGCCGGAAGTGCTAAGAATCGCGTATGCGGCGGCGGCGGCGGCGATGGCAACGGGCGGCTCTCTCGGCGCTCCTGTCTCCCCAGCATCGCGGCAAGGGGCGAGCTTATGAATCATGGAATCTAGCGGGGCGGACAAACGAAAAATTGAAAAAATAAAATAAAATAAAATAAATCTATGTTGTTTTAATTTACAAAATTACGTATTTTTCGCCCATATCAGATTTTATTTGTTTGGAAAAAAGAAAATATCTGATTTTATTTTTTTATCGTATTTTCAAGGAAAAATTGTTGGCATCTCCCCTTTAGAAAATTTGTTTAAAAAAATAGGTGTAACTATAACTTTTTGTTTAAATGTGTGCAACTTACTTTTAATTATTTGCAAAATAAAAAATATTTATACATTACTTTTAATTATTTGCAAAATAAAAAAAAAACCTAGGTTGTTTTAATTTACAAAATTACGTATTTTTCGCCCATATCAGATTTTGTTTGTTTGGAAAAAAGAAAATATCTGATTTTATTTTTTTATCGTATTTTCAATGAAAAATTGTTGGCATCTCCCCTTTAGAAAATTTGTTTTAAAACTTAGGTGTAACTATAACTTTTTGTTTAAATGTGTGCAACTTACTTTTAATTATTTCCAAAATAAAAAATATTTATACATTACTCAAATATTTATTGGTATATATGAATTAGTTAGAAACCTCAGTGGGAGCACTTAGATCAGATTAGATGTTTTTGTGTTTGTTTTGGGGGGTTAAATTCATAACAATAGAGTCAGTTTAGGATGTGATCATTACAAAGGTGTCTTCATTGAGCCCCTTACACTATCAAAAAGGATGACAATGGAGAACCCGATGCTATTTCTCAAAGATTAGCCCTTAACCAAGAAGATTAAGTGAATAAAGAGAAGATGAATCTTGAAGATGATGCATGAGTGTAGATGACCCGAACAAAGGCAACAACTGCAATGAACCAAAAAGGAATGACTCCAAAGCTGCAGATGGAGTTGACCCAAAATGGGATGATCCAAAACTTGCCCTAAATAGTGAAGGAGAAGAAGACAAAGCAATAAGGTGATACACCAAATAGTGATGGAATAGAACTCAATTCATCATCAAACCAATGAAACCTAATTATCATTTGCTTTTGATATTGTATAGGCTAAAGGAATCGGTGTTCATTGCAATAATGAACACCATAGTAATTATCAAATCTAGACTATATGAATTTAATGTCAACAGTCCAAATCTAGTTTTTTGTATGTTTTTTAAAAACTTTTCTTTTACTGGCTACACAATTCATAATAAAAATAATCTCGTAATTGTTAATTTTTTAAAAAAATAATTTTTTATTTGAAAATCATCCGTTCAAGATTCTAATTTTGACCATTGAAACTGTATTTGAATAGTGTACATTTTACTACAAAGAAAAATATTACCTTCGGTTCTAATTATAAAACCCAGTTGACTAATTTGGAGAGATTAAGAAACTTAGTTAAATTAGTTATTTGTAATAAATAGGTGTTGTTTTTCCTAAAATATCTTTGCTAATCAAGTTTGTTATCTAAAACTACCATTATTAAAGGACTGTCTTGGAAAAAATAGATAAATATGATAGACAAAGTAGATTAGGGTCTTATATTTAGGACCAAAATAAAAGTAAAATAAGATCTTATATTAAAGACCGGAGGTAGTACTATAATACTTATCATTGCTATAAGCATCGAAACTGATTCTCCACAGTCACGTCATCAACTCTTTTGCCATTGCCTCAAATGCCAAAAGTCCCATCTCTGTGCTAGTTTCGTCCATGCGGTTATGGGGCTCACTAGTGACTATGCCAACTCCATTACCAAATGTGGTTAAGACCTAGGTTTGCACTGTGAATTCTGTCATGGACTCTATTTTCTATGTCAGCAATTGTGATTTGGCTTCTACCATTGCACATTCTTTCCGTAATAATTCCTTCTTGACATGCATCCTAAGTGTATGATCAATTGTTGCATTTCATTCCAGGGCTCAATTATTCATTTCCCATCCTTGCTTCCATTCTTTACTTGCGTTTATGACCCTAGAATTGCCAAGGGTTCTTGGTTTTTGATATATCACTTATTCCCTATTAAAGCGGCTGCAATTGCAACTATCACAATGCAATATTTTTTTTGGGCTTCTTAGTTTACTTATTTATTACAGTCTAGATTGGTGTATGGTTAGTTTCGTGCGCGCATCTGCATTAAGCTCGCATCTAGCATTGAAACTCTTCATCAAGCTAAGTCTTACACATGTTAGACATATGCAAAAATTCGAGAAGATTGGACATATTTTTTCACCTCGCTTCTTCCATGAGTTTTTCTTTTCTTGTTTGATGTTGGCTATGCAACTCTAGTAATCAATTGCTGATCTTATTTCTTGGATTAATTTAAATATACCACTCATGAAAGTCAGTGGAGTTCGTATTCTACATTGAAATCCTTTATTGGAAGTTTCATTATTCTTGGGATGTTTGCTTCAGACACGTACGTCTTTATTAAAGTACATAATGTTTCTTTTGACGTTTTAACACGATATAGTGCTAATACTAAATCTAATTATTGCTTATGTTCCCAATTGTATACGACATCTTGTTCATATTAATATACTTTGCATTAATTTTCACATGTTTCCTTAATTTAGTTTATGATGTTTTCAGCTTCTTCTCCCTAAAAAAAGTATTTTTATTCATCGTTAAATTATGTTTTCTTAATAAGTAGAGAGTATGGTTTTTATTTTTAAAAAAGTACAAGTTTAGGTACAGTGATATTGAAAGATTACAAAGTATATTATCATAGGAATCTTTGGATGGATTGGGAATGAGAATGGGATTGACTGTGAAAGTGGGATTAGGAATAGGATTAAACTTTCACTACTTAAAAAAAAAGGGTCATTAAAATGAGCATTTAATACCAGAGTAACACTCGTGTAAAAACGACCGATATTAAAATCTTCACTTTTTACACCGATTGTGCAAGCGGCATTGAATATAAAGATTTTAACACTGATTTAATGCAAAACTGATGCCTTTAGTCGAATATTTATTAAAACTACAATCCATCATAGTGTTAATTTTGACCTTGTAGTTTGAAATAGGGAACATTACAAACAAATACCCCCAAATATGTAAAATTGCAATTTACCCTAAATTTTAAAAAATAGCAAATAAACACCCAATCTTACTTTTGCAAATATGAAATGTGGGTGAAATGTGTGAAATACCCCTCAGTCAAATGACAAGTTGACTATGAGAAATGACAACTTCACTTTAGCGAATGACAATTTTAGTAGACCAAATCACAATTTGGCTGAGGATATACCAAATGACAAGTTGACTATAAGAAATAACAAGTTCATTTTAGCGAATGACAACTTTAGTAGACCAAATCACAATTTGATTGAGAGGTATTTCAGATATTTCACCCATATTTCATATTTGTAAAAGTGGGATCGGGTCCTTATTTATTATTTTCTAAATTGAAAGTCTCAAATCGCAATTTCACATATTCATGGGGTTTTTATTTGCAATTTTTCCTTTGAAATAAGTGTGTGAAAATATTGCTTCACGTAGACATTCACTTTGTTGCACTGGTGGTGATAAAAAAACTGGTGTAAAGTTGTGTATTGGTTATAGCAACAACTAGTGTAAAGTGACTGTCTGGTTTTTTTTTCCCCAGAAAATAAGATTATATGTTCTTTCTTTCTTCGATCACCTAGTATGAATGGCCAGAGCAGAACTATTGTAACACATATTATTATATATAATATATAAAAGGTCCCTAGAATTTCCAAAAACAAGCGACTAAATAACTTTATGGACAAGGTTTTTGAAGGAAAAATTTATTGGAAACAACGTGCTGTTGGGCATAGTAGTACAAAGAGCAAAGATACGCTTATTACAAAAATTTGTAAAAACAAGACAAAATGGTGCTTGAGCTTAAATCTGGATAAATAATCATCTTAAAGACAAAAGCCAGACAAGATATTAATCAATGGAAAAAGAACAACACAAAATTTAAAATGTATAATCAAAGACAAAAGGCAATCATGAATTCACTGTTATATTCTATTTGCGAAAGAAAAAATTCAGCCCAACACTCACGAATATCTTTCTCAGGAAAAAGATCAACAAGATTAAACATCTAGAAATATCAAAGTCAAAAGGCAATTAAGTATGTGACTGAAAATGTAAGAAACAGCACAAAAATCAAGAAAAAACACATTTACCTCCTCTATAAATTTAGTTGAGTTTAGGGCGACAATATTACACATGTGCTTGAGGACATAAAGGCAGTAAAGGTTGCTTTTCAGTGGCCGCAGGTTTAAAGGCATATAAATGAAGACAACCTTAACAAAATGACTAAATAGCAGAAATTGATTGAGAATAAAGCAAAACAAATTATTAACATGTGATAATTACTGTTTGAATGATCTACTCAAATTCCTCAATGTTCATTGTTGGCTTCTTACCGGAAGTGTGTGTAAATGATTTCATAGTCCTACCATATTGAAAACCACAAAGTTAATTATTACTAACTTATATATATATATATTTAGTATTTTAATTTCCATGAAAACTCACGCATTCATAGTATTCTTCAGTACAATCCATGGCTTGTCCTGAAGAGAGCACAGGAGCATGATGTAGGCCTTCTTGAACAACACAACCAACTGCCAGTGACCACCCCGGGGGGGGGGGGGGGAAGAAGGCTAGTTAGCAAACAAAAGCATTATAACTTGAATTGAAAAAATAAAATATTTATTTCTTACTCGGTGCAAAGAAACAATCAATTTTAGTTTCATTGGGCCTCTCTGTTATGTATTTATTTCTTGCTGAAGCAGTGGTCCCTTTCATGATGATCTATTGTGGGCAAAGAAATCCAAGGTTAGCAGCTTTGCCCGATGATGTCATCAGCACTACCATTTTGTTTAGAAAAACTCCAAAAATTTCTTTATTCCATTCAAATACTAAACGCTCTTTCATTTAGTATTTTATCTAAGTATGATCTATTGTTATAACATCCTACTTTTACTTGAGATACTGAAGGGGAAAACAAAAATAACCAAATTCAATGCTACTGTCTCATACTCATTATTATAGAAAATTAAACAAACAAAAAATACCTACAAACTCGAAGGTGACAAAAGGGAAGCAACCACAAACTCAAACACGAGCACTGGGAAAACACCTAGAAATTGAAAGTTGAACACACCAAAGTCAATACAAAATTTGTCTAATTTTGAAGAACCAGATATAGACAAAAACTCAACAACTCCATCTTTCTCATCATGCCACAAAATAAAGGAAATGAAGGCTTGAACTCAAAGCAAAAATGACATAAGCAAATTATCACTTGGTTTTTGAAATATCACTTATTCCCTATTAAAGCGGCTGCAATTGCAACTATCATAATGCAATATTTTTTTTTTGGGCTTCTTATTTTACTTATTTATTACAGTCTCGATTGGGGTATGGTTAATTTCATGCGCGCATCTGCATTAAGCTTGCATCTAGCATTGAAAATCTTCATCAAGCTAAATCTTACACATGCTGGACATATGCAAAAGTTCGAGTAGATTGGACATACTTTTTCACCTCACTTCTTCCATAAGTTTTTCTTTTCTTCTTTGATGTTGGCTATGCAATTCTAGTAATCAATTGCTGATCTTATTTCTTGGATTAATTTAAATATACCACTCATGAAAGGCAGTTGAGTTCGTATTCTACATTGAAATCCTTTATTGGAAGTTTCACTATTCTTGGGATGTTTGCTTCAGACACGTACGTCTTTATTAAAGTACATAATGTTTCTTTTGACGTTTTAACATGATACAGTGCTAATACTAAATCTAATTATTGCTTATGTTCCCAATTGTACAAGACATCTTGTTCATATTAATATACTTTGGATTAATTTTCCCATGTTTCCTTAATTTAGTTTAGGATGTTTTCAGCTTCTTCTCCCTAAAAAAAAAAAGTTATTTTTATTCATCGTCAACTTATGTTTTTTTAATAAGTAGAGAGTATGGTTTTTATTTTTAAAAAAGTACAATTTTAGGAACGGTAATATTGAAAGATTACAAAAGTATATTATCATACGAATCTTTGGATGGATTGGGAATGAGAATGGGATTGATTGTGAAAGTGGGATTAAGAGTAGGATTAAACTTTCACTACCAAAAAAAAAAGTCATTAAAATGGGCATTTAATACTCGAGCTGTAAAAACGACCGATATTAAAAGTCCTCACTTTTTACACAGATTGTGCAAGCGGTATTGAATATAAGGATTTTAACACTGATTTAATGCAAAACTGATGCCTTTAGTCGAATATTTATTAAAACTACAATATATCATAGTGTTAATTTTGACCTTGTAGTTTGAAATAGGAAAAATTACAAATAAAGACCCCAAATATGTAAAATTACAATTTAAGACTCTAAATTTTAAAAAATAGCAAATAAAGACCCGGTTTTACTTTTGCAAATATGAAATGTGTGAAATACCCTTCAACCAAATGACAAGTTGACTATGAGAAATGACAACTTCACTTTAGCGAATGACAATTTTAGTAAACCAAATCATAATTTGGTTAAGGGTATGCTAAATGACGAGTTGATTATAAGAAATGACAAGTTCACTTTAGCGAATGACAACTTAGTAAACTAAATCACAATTTGATTGAGAGATATTTCAGATATTTCACCTGTATTTCATATTTGCAAAAGTGGGATCGAGTCCTTATTTACTATTTTCTAAATTGAAGGTCTCAAATCGTAATTTCACATATTCAGGGGGTTTTTATTTGCACTTTTTCCTTTGAAATAACTGTGTGAAAATATTGCTTCACGTAGACATTCACTTTTGTTGCACCGGTGGTGATAAAAAAACTGGTGTAAACCTGTGTAGTGGTTATAGCAACAACTAGTGTAAAGTTACTGTCTGGTTTTTTCTTTTTCAGAAAATAAGATTATATGTTCTTTCTTTCTTCGATCACCTAATATGAATGGCCAGAGCAGAACTGTTGTAACACATATTATTATATATAATATATAAAAGGTCCCTAGAATTTTCAAAAAAAGCGATTAAATAACTTTATGGACAAGGTTTTTGAAGGAAAAATTTATTGGAGACAACATGCTCTTGAGCATAATAGTACAAAGAGCAAAGATACGCTTATTACAAAAATTTGTAAAAACAAGACAAAATGATGCTTGAGCTTAAATCTGGACAAATAATCCAAGCAGCCAAAGAGAAGGAGAGCTTAATCATCTTGAAGACAAAAGCCAAACAAGGTATTAATCAATGGAAAAAGAACAAGACAAAATTTAAAATGTATAATCAAAGACAAAAGGCAATAATGAATTCACTGTTATATTCTATTTGCGAAAGAAAGAATTCAGCCCAACACGTACGAATATTTTGAATATCTTTCTTAGGAAAAAGATCAACAAGATTGAACATCTAGAAATATCAAAGTCAAAAAGTAATTAAGTATGTAATTGAAAATGTAAGAAACAGCACAAAAATCAAGAAAAAACATTTCTACCTCCTCTATAAATTTAGTTGAGTTTAGGGTGACAATATTACATGTGCTTGAGGACATAAAGGCAGCAAAGGTTGCTTTTCAACGGCCGCAGGTCTAAAGGCATATAAATGAACACAACCTTAGCAAAATGACTATACAGCATAAATTGATCGAGAATAAAACAAAACAAATTATTAACATGTGATAATTAAATTGATCGAGAATAAAACAAAACAAATTATTAACATGTGATAATTACCGTTTGGATGATCTACTCAAATTCCTCAATGTTCATTGTTGGCTTCTTAGCGGTAGTGTGTGTAAATGATTTCATAGTCCTACCATATTGAAAACCACAAAGTTAATTATTACTAACTTATATATATATTTAGTATTTTAATTTCCATGAAAACTCATGCATTCATAGTATTCTTCAGTACAATCCATGGCTTGTCCTGAAGAGAGCACAGGAGCATGATGTAGGCCTTCTTGAACAACACAACCAACTGCCAGTGACCACCCCGGGGGGGGGGGGAAGAAGGCTAGTTAGCAAACAAAGCATTATAACTTGAATTGAAAAAATAAAATATTTATTTCTTACTCGGTGCAAAGAAACAATCAATTTTAGTTTCATTGGGCCTCTCTGTTATGTATTTATTTCTTGCTGAAGCAGTGGTCCCTTTCATGATGATCTATTGTGGGCAAAGAAATCCAAGGTTAGCAGCTTTGCCCGATGATGTCATCAGCACTACCATTTTGTTTAGAAAAACTCCAAAAATTTCTTTATTCCATTCAAATACTAAACGCTCTTTCATTTAGTATTTTATCTAAGTATGATCTATTGTTATAACATCCTACTTTTACTTGAGATACTGAAGGGGAAAACAAAATAACCAAATTCAATGCTACTGTCTCATACTCATTATTATAGAAAATTAAACAAACAAAAAATACCTACAACTCGAAGGTGACAAAAGGGAAGCAACCACAAACTCAAACACGAGCACTGGGAAAACACCTAGAAATTGAAAGTTGAACACACCAAAGTCAATACAAAATTTGTCTAATTTTGAAGAACCAGATATAGACAAAAACTCAACAACTCCATCTTTCTCATCATGCCACAAAATAAAGGAAATGAAGGCTTGAACTCAAAGCAAAAATGACACAAGCAAGAAAAAGTTTTGAGATTGAAGATGATATTTACTAGGATTCTCGAAACAGATTCACTCTTACATGAGGAAGATTGAAGATAAAGTGGGGCGCATCAACTAAAGACTTAACACAATAGGAGGAAGGTGTGAACAAAGAATAGGTCTTCAATTTCTACATCAGTCACATAAAAATGACAGTGTAATCACAAACATGTCAAGGCTGGTTGTTTCCAATAACTGATATATACAAGTATGTTTACGCTGGTTGAGTTAACATCCAATATAAAAATTAATAATGATATCAGTCATAATAATAACCGATGTGAAATTGTATTATTATTTATAAAAATGTCACTACCTCATTTGTTAGATCGTTGGTGTAATAACTGAAGTAGAAGGCGGTGTAAAATGGTGTTTTTCTAGTAGTGTTTAAAATTATGCTTGATATGGAGCAGAATTTAAAAAGAATGATTGCATCAATTTTATTTTGAAATTAATTAGAAATTGTAAAAAGACTACATCATTCTGTCATTTGGAGGAAGGTGAGGCCATTTTGGTCTGAAAAATTCTGATTGCACAGTCAAATTTTCAATATCACTTTCCTCTAATATTTCTGAATTTCACTTATATGGATTTGCCCAAACTAAGAACACTTTTTTAGTGAGATTTCCTAATCCTAATTCCTACCTCTCAATACTTCACAAGTTCTTAACCCAACTTAAATCCAAATTAGTTGGAGCTGTCCTTTTGATTTATTACAATTTAAACGTATGCATATGTCAAAGCCGAGTACATAACTAAAGCATATTATTAGTCATTGCTAAAATATAAATAACAAAATTATTTTAAAAGACTTTATTATATGTTTTTTCATTTTATAAAATATTTTTTGAACAATATTAAAATACGTGTGATTTAGATTAAAATAAAATTAATTCAAGACTTCAAATTTTATAAATGATTATTGAAGTGAGTTTATTAATTTGTATTGTACGAAAGTTAGTGTTTTTGAGAATAAATTTTCTTCACCGTCAAAAAAAAAAAAAAGAATAGTACAAATTTCTTTAAAAAAAAAAAAATCTCTTTCCTCCCCACAATCCCCGCGTTTATCCACACGCGGACCCGGCGCGCGGCGCAGAAGAATTTAATGGAATAAAGAAAAGCGAAATTAAAAACGAAAGAGAGAGGAAATCTACGAACTTGATTTTTAAGATCCTTCAGAATCCTTGCTAGCTAAGGAACATTCAGAGGTATTGATTTTACTTCTCTCTCTGTTGTTGTCATCTTTCTCAGTTTTTCTTTCACCTTCTTCGATCAATTTCACCTGAAAATCGGAACTTCAAATTCGCACACTCTCTTTGATATCGCTCATTCCCTGTGGTTTTCGATCTTAGTTTCTGTTCGTTTGTTTTTGGTCAGTGATTGATTCTGATCGAGATCAACACCATGTCGATGCTCGATTCCTTCTTCGCCAAGGGCTTCAAAGGTTCCAAATGGTAATAATTTTTTGATAACTTCTTCCCTAGATAATTTATGTGATTGTCCTAGTGTTCGCTGATCTAACTCTTTTTTTTTTTTTTTTTTAACCAAAAGCTAGACAGTCTTGAATGTATTCTGTAGCAATTCGCGATTGCTGGAAGTCGCAAATAGTGAATAGGTTTCTTCCTTTTAGTTAGCCTTAATGAACTGTGGTGGTTTGTTTAACTTGAATTGTTGCAATGTCTTGTTTTTGCTAATAATTTAAGTGGACATCGCGGAGCTTTTATTGTTCTCTAGATTTTTCACCGCATCTTTTTCTTTCAGATGGCCCCTTTACCCGGTTCAATTGGTTACATATGAGGAGGCTATGTATTCTGGAGTTTTAATTAGTCCCTGCTGTTGGTCCTTTTGCTATATTACCTGGATTAGCTCTGTTATTTCATTTTGTTCTCGAAGTTTCCTAGCAAGTGACTTAATTTTTCGTATTCACACTTCCAGTAAAACCCTTCTGAAGTTGACAATTCCTCGTATAAAGCTGCTAAGAAACAGAAGAGAGATCCAGTTAAAGCAGATGCGCCGTGACATTGCTAAACTACTTGAGACTGGGCAAGAAGCTACTGCTCGCATAAGGGTAATTTGCATGAAAAGTTGTCCGGTCTTTCTGTTTTTCCACTTATTTGTGAATTGTGAACCTGTGACCCTCGGGGCTTTCTTTTTTGGTTGCTATATGTGATTTGCCGTGCTTTTCATGATGTGATAACTTGCGCAGGTGGAGCATATTGTCCGAGAAGAAAATATGATGGCTGCTCAAGAGATCATTGAACTGTTTTGTGAGCTTATTGCTGTCCGCCTTCCGATAATTGAATCTCAGAGGTATTATACAATGCAAAACAGAAATCTTACTGACTGGCTTAACTTATGCTTTCAATTTGTTATTTGTGTGACAATTGTGTTCATGTCAGATTTTATATCTTAAGTTAGTATTGTGTTTGACATGCTCCTAATTAAGCTAAAGGCATTTTTTATCCATCATTAAAATAGGTAAATCAGTGTTACTGTGACCTAAAGAACTGATTTATTACTGGAGGCAAGTGTAGTTATTTTGGATCAAGACTGTGGTCCAGGGAGCGCGCCATAAGCTAAAAATGCTGAAAATGAATATTTTCACTTCCGCATTTTTCTTTTCCAAGCTTGCTCAATTCTCTGCCAGTATCACTGGATCATCTTTATAATTTTATTTTACACGTGACAGATCAAAAAATATGTTGAAATTTATTTAATATTCAGTTGGCATTTACCTATGTGTTCTTGATAGTTGAATTTGAAGATAGTTTGGTTCCTAAAAAGTTAAGGCACTGGAGGGAAAAAAAAATGTTATTTAATTAGTCCCAGTTCTCGTTTCTGCCCTTCTTTTAAATGATCAGTCATGCTGCTTTCACCCAAATTAATTTCAATATTTAACAAGAAGATAGCTTTCCTGACATTTGCATCAACAAATTGCAGAACTAATGTGTGGAAGTAAATGAGCAAAAGAGACATAATATGGGAAGAACATGTTGATACTGATGTTGAATGAATATTTTCTATTTGTCTACTTGTTTATTTGAATATTTATTGTTACCTAGAGCAGGTTGCTCATGGAAAAGGAGCTTAATGCTGTTTCACGAATTATGACCATCATTTGAGATAGAGATGTGATGGGATGTAGGATTAGTTAGATTGGATTTAGGATTTTTGTTTTATTACTATGATCCCTTAAATTTGAATTAAGAGTTGGTTTGAATAAGTGTAATTTTGATTATTAGGTTATCTCTTAGATTATTCTAGAATGTTTTATTTAATTCTTGGGATTTCTAGAATATTTGTTTTTAATTGCTAGGATTAGGGTTAAGGCTTATAATTACATCTTAATACATTCTCATTTGTATGCGTTTTGATGAAATGAATAAAATTGATTTTTGAGTATTCCCTCCCTATCTTGAGTTCTTCTCTTCTCCCTCTATCCATCTGGTTTCTCCCTCTCTTCTGGTTATTCTCCCTCCTCTCCTTGTCTCTCTTCCCTTTTCACGTTCTTGTCCTACATCAATATGTTTGTTCATCTGAATATAACATTGATTTATTTCTACCAAAGTAAAACTGGAATCCATGTTGATATCTTTTCCTACGGGGATGCATTATGTGGAAAATACTTAAACTACTGCATCAACTACTGCATCCTCGTATTGGCACAGTGATATTAAGAGCAGTGGTTTTTACTCCTGTATTATAAGAGTTTGTGATTTCCAGTAATACTCCTGCGTCCCAAAATGTAACTCACATTCTAAGAGATTTGTGATACTCAATGTGTCAGTCATTTTGTAGAATGTGGTGAAAATTAATTGTTCTTTTTTCAAATTTATCTCTATTTAAGAGAGATATCATTAACATGAGATTACAATTTAGTAAGGGTAATTTTGGAAAGTTCAGGTAATTTTTGAAAAGTTCAAGATGTCTAACTAGCTTTAGCAAAATCTATTGGTTTATGTAAAGTAGCTAAAGGTGACATACATTCTGGGATCGAGGGAGTAGTAGTTTTGGACTTCGGCAAATTTTATGTATGGGATCACATTAGCACATAAAGAATTGTAACAGAAGGAAGATGAAGGTTTGGTGGGGGTTCTTACCCCTGCACATCATTTTTTTTCAACTGTGTACTTTTCCTTGTTATAACTGTTACAGCTTAAATCATGTGTTAGTGTGATGTTTCGGTAAAAATCATTGGCTAACATTTGCAGTAAGTTTTTGTCTCTGCAATTAAACCCTTTTATTGTTGGCTAATTCAGCAGTTTCAAAATCTGGGTCAAATACTGTATTCTGAGGAAAAAAAGCAGTCAAATACAAATGCTGAAAATATCTGTCTACTTAGGTTGTGAAAAGCCCATTGATATTCTTTAATTGTATGTATTCTACCAAACTTCAACATTGTTCAGGGAATGTCCTCTAGATTTGAAGGAAGCTATATCTAGTGTATGTTTTGCTGCACCAAGGTGTGCCGACCTACCAGAGTTGTTGCAGGTTCAAATGTTATTTGCTTCCAAATATGGGAAGGAATTTATATCAGCAGCAACTGAGCTCATTCCAGATTGTGGTGTTAACCGCCAGGTTTTATAATTTTATATCGGCTATGGACTTGTTGGCAATTATTTTTTTTTGGCAAGGGACTTGTTGGCAATTATAAATGCTATTTTTTATGATGTTATTTGTCCAATTTGCAATTGCAGTTAATAGAGCTGCTGTCAATTCGTGCCCCTTCACCCGAAAAGAAACTGACACTTCTAAAAGAAATTGCTGTTGAGCATGACGTAGACTGGGATCCAACTGCCTCGGAAGCTGAGTTCTTGAAGAAACATGAAGACTTACTGGTAACTATTAGACACCAGTGACTAAGAAGAATGTGTTCATTTTTCTTTCCACTTTGTTATAATATATGCGTATGCTCACTTTGTCAGAATGGCCCAACACAATTCTTTAGTGGATCTAAAGTGCCCCTTCCTGAAGAAAAACACAATGAAGCATTGTATTCTGCTCCTGACCAACCCAACAAAGGAGAACCTGATTCTGATTCTGATTCCGACATATTAGAATTTCCTGAAGTTCCTAAAGTATCGGTGAGGTCAAGTGCGAATTTTGCCATGGCTCCAGAAACGGTTACATCCTCTCCATCTATTCCACCCCCTGAAGTTGGCCTTCATTCATCAAGCAGTTCTGGAGGTTCTGCAGATATAAAGTCTGAATACACAGAAGAAAAATCGATGGTCAATACAAATGAACCCCATGATTTCGCTGGCAGTATGGAAAAGAAACAGTTTGTGCCTTTCATCTCCCCTCCAATGTCTTCTGATGGATCATTTTCTGCGAGGCATAGCGACTCATCCCCGTCCCTTTCAAAGACCACAGCTGAGGCTGATGTTGACTTGAATGATGTGTTGGTTGCTGCTCATACTGCTGCTGAAACGGCTGAACGTGCTGCAGCAGCAGCTCGCTCAGCAGCTACTCTTGCGCAAATTCGCATTAACGAGCTTACCAAGAAAAGTGGTGAAAATGTACCAGACGGTAGTTCTGAGAACCCATTTTATACAGGAAACAATATAAATCAGTCCAGAACACCAGAAACAGGGAATTATACTGAGCAAAAAGCTGTGGATGACTACAATGGTCATGGCGCAAGTAGTTATGAGTCCCCCAATCATCAGAATGCCCCCCCTGGTTCTGATTCATCGAGATTTACTTCATTTGACACACTAAAGCCAGACCTTGATTCTTGTCTACCAGAAGACAAAACATCTGGCCACCAGCCCAAGAGATTACCTTCAATGGATGAGGACCCATATTTCTCGTACCCCAACTTATTTACCTCACAAAACTCAAATGCTGGATCTCATACTCAATTAGATAATACCAGATCCCATCATGATCTGTGACAGGTCCTTGATATGTATGAGATCTTCCTTGTGAATGAGTTTCGACAGTGCTGTAGAGTTGTGGTTGAGTTTTTGCTGTGCATGCAGTTTCCGGTTTATACCATATTCCGCATCCTTCGTACCTATATTCTGCATTCAGTGAAAATTTTGAATTTATATTATGAAGCCTTCTTTCCTGTTGGTGCTGAATTTGTTGATGGTGAGTGAGGCGACAATGATTGTAAAAATTCTTAGTGTTGGGAATAAAAGGTTCTCATTTTCAGTTCTGTTTATGTTTAAATTTCTTAATTGTTTTAGCACCTTGATGTTTGTGTTGGCAGTGGATTACAGTGGGGAAGGTGAATCATGTATTTTTTTTCACTGGATTTTTATGGTCCGTTTGGTTCATGGGATCAATAGGCACGTAATAATTGAGGATGCAATGTAATGTAATTATGATTATAATAAAGTTGTTTGCTACAATATTGAGAATGATAAAATTAAATTTATTATTTATGTTTAATTAAATACAAATAAAATCAAAATTACAAAAAAGCCCTTACACAAATAAAAAAAAAATTTTATTTACTGCTTCCCTCATCTTTCTTGTCCACTGAGACAATACTAACCCATCATTGTTGGTCTTCATTCACCTTCATCCTTCCTCCAAAATGATCATTCCTCACCCCACATGTTCTTTCTATTCCAGGTCCGTCACATAAGTAGAATCACCACTCTCACAAGTTAGAAACAGAAAACATCCCCTTCCAAAAAAATCCTCACACCTGACTTCTTTCACTTCCAAGTGCGTCATCCCTCCCTCTCCCATTAGCTTCATTGTTGGATGATCGAAGTCTCACCAACCTTCCTCGCTGCCAACACTCCTTGCACAAGATTAGATCTACGTTCACTATCGGACGTCTAGATTCTTGTCACCGACCTTCATCACAACTACGCCTAATGCTTTGTTATGCCGTTGCCTTTTGTTCCAACCCTACCTCTATCCCTCTCTTCTACTTCCGCCATAGCCCATGATTCCTGGCAATGAGGATTTCCTTCTCTACCTCATCTTCATCATCTCCGGTGAAGATTATTCCAATCGTATTTTCATTGCTTGTATCTTTGTTTTCATATTTTTTATTTTACTTTTTGCTAGCACTAGTTCCTTTTTCATTTTCATCCTCATGATGATGAAGTGAACAGGGAAGATGAAGTTATTCACTTGACGAAGGGGTGTCCTCAACATAGGGAAGGCCACTGGTGGAGGAGGGTTGGTAGTGGTCAACGAAGATGATGAAGAAGGAAAGGGCAAATATTGTCTTTTTTGGATTACAACATGTTATAATCCCCATTCTTTACTATTATGGATGTAATCCCCTTTACCACCTAAATGTACAAACCAAATGCTTGAAAGAGGCTATTGTATTAGGATTACAAGGAATGCTAATACAATGCGTCGAACCAAACGGGTACTTATAGTCTTCAATTAAAAAATAAGTCCATTTGATACAAGAGAATTGAGATTAAAATTACATTATTACATAGCTTTAGGGTCCGTTTGGTTCCTGCCATCCTGGCCGGTGGAATGGAAATATGGTTTCTAGCTTTACTCTTTGATGATATGGCTTGTTTGGTTGCCTTCAGTAGAGAATCAAGAAAGCATTTAATTGCAACCTCACACAATTCAAATATGGTCTGTTAAAAGAAGTTAACAAACACCATGATATTATTTTTCAATTATATTCATCATCTTAATCTTTTAGTGCATTCAATATTGATATTATTTGTGGTGCCTTTAGCACTCTAATTTTATTTATAATACATTTGGTGACCTAAACTATAAATAAAATTAGAATGTCAAATATAACTAAACCATAAAATTAAGAGGTACTAGACACACTAGAAAAATAACATTAGGATGTTGTAAACTATAAATAAAAGTAGAATGTTAAATGCTATTAAAAATTATTATTTTTTGGCCAAAAAAGAATTATTATTAGAGCGTTGGATGTTATTTTATTATTGCCAAAAACAGAAAATCTTCTAAGGTTAACATGAATATCGATATCAATGCATCTTGTAAAACCTACCGGTAATTGTACTATTTTTAAATTATAAACAACGTAGCTTTATTTTTTGGCCTAATGTAGCTTATTGATAATAAATAATAAAAAATATTGTAATATCTTTCAACATACAAGGAAGTTTGTTTAGTTAAATTTTAAGATCTAACCATTTTCCGCGGCAAAATTTAAGCCTACCAATATACTAGTATATATATTTGCCATTAAGCCTACCAATATAATGTGATAGATTTGTGATAATTTTGTTAATCAAAATTATAGTTTGAAATGATTTTACAAACTCAGGTAAGGGATGATTAATTATAAACTTAAAATTATGATTATCTCATAAATCATTATTACTAGTTTTTATAATTGATTTTGTCATGTATAAAGCGTTTGGTAACCTTAAGAGATAATTATAATTTTGAGTTCATGATTAATTTTGGCATATAAATGAAGTATGAGATTATACAAAGTTAGAAGTTCTTACTTGTAATCATGAATGATGAAGTGGTCAAATTTAGTACATAGCAATTAAAAAATAAAAATAATTATTTTTAACAAAACCAAGTCATTGCTAAAAGAACAAAATTAAGTAGCTTCACGAAATTTATAATAAAAATTCTGTTAACTACTACCTCCAGTCCTATTTATAAGATCTAGTTGACTAACTTGAAGAGATTAAGAAAAGAAGTTAAGTTAGTTATTTGTAATAAATATGTATTATTTTTTCTAAAATATTCTTGCTAATCAAGTGTATTAGCTATAACTACCATTGTTAGAAGGACTATCTTAAAAAAAATATATAAATATAAGAGACAAAGTGAATTGGGATCTTATATTTAGAATTAAAATAAAAATCAAATAAGGTCTTATATTAAGAAGCGGAGGTAGTATGTCTTAACATTATATTATTACAATTTTATTTTTATATGTAACTTACTTATATAAAAAGAGTTTATTACTATATATTAGTTACTTGTAAGGTAATTAAATTAATGACCTTTTTTTCAATCTTACCCCTATTAAGTTCAACAGAGAAAATAAGTCAAAGAAAATGTATAACATGTTTTTCTTGAACGCCTTTTTTTTAATAGGAATAAGTGGGAAATTTTTTTATCAAGTTAATATATTTTTTAATATGCGAGTATGAGATACTCAATGCCAGTTAAAAATTTTAACTTGATATATACTACCTCTAGTCTTTAATATAAAATCTAATTTGATATTTAATTTGGTTCTAAATATAAGATTTCAATCTATTTTGTCTCTCATATCTATCTATTTTTTCAACTAATATACGTATTTAACAAAGGTATTCTAAAGAAAATAATACTTATTTATTACAAATAATCAACTAATAAATTTTTATTCTATTTAAATTAATTAACTAATTTTATAGTAAGATGGTACTCCCTCCGTTCCTTATTATAAGAGATGAATAACCGAATTACGTTGATAAAAAAACAGTTAAAATTAGTTAAGAACAATTAATATGTAAAAAGTATAATTTTTTTCTAAAAATACCCTCATTAATAAGGAGAGAGAATATGGTAGAGAACAATGGTAATTTATTAAAAGAAAGAGAAGTGGGAAGGAGAGAGAGTGTGAGTTGGAGACAATAAATATAGGTAAAATAAGAAATCAACACAAAAAAGTAGAGATAACTTTTAAGTGTTTCTTATATATAGAAACATGTCATAAATACTAAATATTTCTTATAATAAGAAACGGAGGGAGTAGTATTTTATTTTATGCTGGGATGAAAAGATGAGGAACTGTATCTGTTGAAATTGCCAGTAACAAGGGGAACCCACATTAATGATAAGGTGGGCTCCGTGAACGTTTATTCACTATTTCACTGTCGAAAAAAGATGAATGTCCATTCATTTTGTTCTCCCTTTTTGGTTTTCTGAGTCAGTATTTTTAATATTATTTTATTGATGCATAAATCAAACCAAATCAGATAATAATATCAAATAACGCGTTGAAACTTGAGAAACACTCCCACCTACAATAACGGTTAGTGCGCGCCGCTCCTAGGTCGGCGATAATACTCCATGTCTACATCAACACTCTTTTTCCTTTTTCCTACATCCAAACACCCCAGAAAAAAAAACAACAACAACACTTATTATTTTCTTTTGTATTTTTTTTTTGTATTCTTGTCGTAATTTCTTATTATTTAATAACCATACAGGCCAAAAGTTTTATAAAGTAGCTAAATTTACTTTTAATGAAAGCACATTTTTCATATAAAAATGTTTATTTGAACCACAAAAGGATACTGCGGTGCATAAATCTGGGGCCCATTTATATTTTGAAAGAAAATATGTCTTTTGCCGGATTAAAGAAAATGTTTTTAATAGAACATAATATTTCATGTCATATAATTTTCTTTAAAACTCCCTTGGCATTAGACCTAAATTATGTGGAAGATCGCCTTCTATTTCATTAGACCACTTCATGAGCAAGAATCATCCACTTGCTTGGATACCAATTGATCATGAAAAGGAAATAAGAAAATAATCTTTGTAGTCTTGTTATTGTCTAAAAATTTGTAACCAGATCCTCTGAATTGATAAAAGCTTTTATTCAACCCTGATGGAAAAAAAATATTGAATTTTCAAATTTTATTATACAATTTATATATTAACCGAACATTTTAAATAGATATGACTAAAAAATGATAAAAATTTATAGTTTGCACATACAAAAAAATAACAAAGAATAGGAACAAAGATTAAATTAAGAATATTTTGAACTAAGAATAAATTTTTAAAATATAAAAATTAACTTAACAATCATAATCTCCAAATAGAAGTCAAGTCAGACATGGTGTAAAGATTAAGCTACCATTGTTTCATCAAGTAAACACCACTTTGTCAAACTGCACAAGATGATACAAATAGCAACTGACAAAGCAGTCCCTATGCACAAATGTAAATGAATATAATGCATTGAACTTACAGGAGATCAGATATAATCAGATTATGGTACGCCATGAGAAAGCAAAGAGGAGGAATCAAAAAATAAGTAAAAGAGAACTTTATAGTTAAAAAGGGGGGAAAAGCCATAATAATTCTTCTTCTCTGTCACTTTCTACTGTGCCAAAGTCACCTAGGACCTGATAACTCAACTGCATGTAAATTCTCAGTCGAATCAACAATCCAATCAGAATTGGGATGAGGGGCCAGCTCCACCTCCTGCCGAAGAACTTCAACCTTCTGCCACT